GAACGAACCCTTCAAGGAAGGATCCCCCGCCAAAGTCCGCTCCAACGACGTGGTCCACCAAGGATGCTCGGCAGACAAACTGGGATCGACGGTGAAGTTAGAGGGAGCAGAGGGAATCGCCTCCCAGGTTTTATCCTGGTCGATCTCGCCGGTGAACCCCATCTCCTTCAGTTGGCGCTCGACCTCCTCTATGCTATAAGTGTAGAAGTCCATCCCCATCTCAGCAGCCTCTTTGAGGAAAGCCGTCGAGCAAAGGTAATCTTTGATCAACTGCTCTCGATAGGCTCGGAGGAAATTCTGGCCAACTTGGGTCCTCCACAGGGCCCGACGAGATTGCTCGATCGCAGTGATAGCAGCAGCCTCAACCTCTTTCTTACGACTAGCCCTCTCCGCCTCGAGAGCCTGGTCCTTGCCCTTCAGCGCGTCCTTGTACCGCTGCTTATCCTTTTTTAGCTGCTCCGCCAAGGCGTGGCGTGTCTTGAGCAGGTCCTCGTTCTCGGCCCTCAACCTCCTATTCTCCTCCTCGAGACGCCTATTGTCGCCCTCGAGCCGGGAATTGGGCGACCAGTGCTATTCAGCGTTTCCTCGAGGAGAGGCACGATGGAGGCCAGAGTCTGTAGCAAGAATAAAAATAAGTACAACACAAGGCAGGATGCTCGAAAATAATGTCAAGAAGGAAATGTACCTGCGTCACTGCACGAACGGCATACTCGGCCTGATTACGAAGATTCACCCCCAGCGATGTGTATCGTCGAATGGTAGGAAGCTCAACAGCCGAGACACAGTCTCTCGAGGGCCAGCGGACACAAGTGAAAGAGAAGCATACGAGGGAGGAGGATTCCCAGAGGAAGCAGCTTCGAGTTGTGGTCGCTTGGGGGAAGGCAGAGGGTTAGTGGAATGAGGACCAGTCACCTCGGTTCGGGGACGCTTTTTGGAGGCGTCGCCCTCCCTGGTCGATGGATAAAAATGACGCTCGACTTGCCTGGGTGGAGAAGAAGGAGCCCGTTGTTTGCTCAAATGAGAAGAAGCACCGACACCGGATTTCTCCACACGAGAGGTCACATCTTTGGTCGAAGATTGGCCCTTGGCCTTCTCGACGTTGGCGGGAGTGTCCTTGTGAGCGGACCTCCTACCCCAGACTTCTTTAAGTCCGGCTTATGCAAAAATCCCTCTGCACGAGTAGTAGAGTTAGTCAGAAGTTGATCAATAGCATTAAACAAATCTAAGGCATGATGATGACTCGAGCACCTGCTCGAGCTGTCTTATTAACTTCAGCAAGTTTGGGGTCAACGCGGATCTGGAGAATGGTCTCGGCGAGAGGGGGTGAAAACGCGTTATGAGTCAAAATTCCACAATAGTGGAGGAGGTTATCATTTTCGAGCAAAGGAGTAGAGGCAACGGGATTGGAGTTCCACACTTGTATGCGTCGGTCGAAAAGTGGGTTAGCAGCAGGGCGAGCAGGTTTTATGGGCACCTCGGTGAGCCAAGGGATGGGCGCCCAAGGGTAAGGCTGCGGGGGGCGTATATACACAAACTGGTCTTTCCACCTCGACACATTGGATGGTCGATTAGTAATAAAACAGGCTTTATTCCGGCTCTTCAAATAGAGGCCGTCTGACTGTTTAGAAGCAAAGTAGCAGTATACAAAAAAGTCTAAATCTACTCTACCCAGGGAAACTATGGACAAAATAATAAAGGACGCTAATGTCCTAAAAGCAGTGGGGGTGATTTGGTTGAGAGGCGGGCCATATAGGCCGCACAGGTCGAGCAAGGCCGGGCAGATGGGGAAACGGAGGCCTAGGTCGAAATGGGCGCGGAAGAAAGTGTAATAGCCCTCAGGAGGGTTATCGAAGGTATCATCGTCATCAGGACTGCGAGCGGCCCCAGGATGGCCAATTGCATCAAAGTCGAGACGGGAAGCGCTCGTAGATGGTTTAGAGGGTTTGGACCATTTGGATGGCTTGATGAGGGGAGTGAGAGGGCATAGTCGACGAAACGGGAACGCGAGCAGACAGCGGGACATGGTCTTGAGGATCATCCTCGTCTTCAATCTCGTCATCCTGACCGATAGCTCGACGAGCACGCTCAGTTGGTATTATGCGAGGAGGCAGAAGTAGGAAAAAGGAAAATTTGTCTAAGTAGCAGTATTTATAGGGGAAATAGGCAAATGAGGAGAAAAACTAGCCGTCGGATCGCGAAGTTTCAAGGGTGGAGATGGAGACAGTGAGAGGGTGGATTAACGTAGTGGATCTGGTGGCCAACGGGAATGAAGACCTTAAAGTAGCACAAGGTACGAGGGAGCGCGGGACACGAGGTAATGATGGGCCCTAGCAGATGAAAGGACGCGACGGAAAAGGCGGACAAGTGGTACAATTTGAAATTCAAAAATACCTAAAGTGGTGGTTAGAAAAGGAAATAAATACACAGAAGAAAGAAACGGGCTATCTGGGCGAAAACAAAGATGTAAAACCCTCCTCGACAAAAACCGAAGCCTACTCTTAGGACGAGTCATTCAGACTCGACCAGAGTGGGGGGACTAGATGATATGGGATATTGTATACTAGACCGGTTTGCCAGGACAACCGGAGAAAATAGGTCGGACCGCCGGATTACCTGAGTAAGGAAAGGTCGAGTGACCTGGTCGAGAAAGGCCAAGATGCTAGCAATAAAGGAACAGAGAGCAGACAGCAGAGATCGGACGTGGTCGACAGATACGAACCACCATGAGTGGGCGTGGTCGCAGAGGATTGGTCGAATATCAGAGTACACAAGGGAATCTCCAGCACGTGAAAGGAAGGACGCGTGGCGCACTGTGAGTGGCTACATAGCTGCAACGGACTCTGACATTCTCTGACAAAGAGGACGCGTCTCCTGACACCAAAGATAGTGGAGGCGCGCGGCTGTACGGACGAGCAGAAGACAGTTGGCCGAACTCGCCTTGCTCGCGCGTGCAGCTCAGGTAACTCGCCCTTATAAATAAGGGCGAGAATCCTCATTTTCGGTACAATCACATATACTCTTATACTTTTTCATACACTCATATTGTCTCTCAAGATCTAACTTGAGCGTTGGAGGCTCTTCACCGGAAAACACCTCCGGTGTGGGAGTTTCGTGCAGGTTCCGCGTTCAACCGGCGAGGAGAGCAGGCTTAAGGCGATTTCCAACCGGTCAGGGTGCGAGACTTGTATTACAATCTACTCGTCCTCTGTCTGTCTGCTCGACTATTCTTTCTTAGGGTTTTATAAAAAATCAAATATAATTTTATAAAAAATCAAATATAATTGAAGAAGAAGAAGAAGAAGAAGAAGAAGAAGAAGAAGAAGAAGAAGAAGAAGAAAAAGAAGAAGAAGAAGAAGAAGAAGAAGAAGAAGAAGAAGAAGAAGAAGAAGAAGAAGAAGAAGAAGCAGGAGGAGGAGAAGAAGGAGGAGGAGGAGAAGAAGAAGAAGAAGAAGAAGAAGAAGAAGAAGAAGAAGAAGAAGAAGAAGAAGAAGAAGAAGAAGAAGAAGAAGAAGAAGA